AGAAACATTTCATCCATTTATAGAGCCAATATCAACTGCTGATTCAAATTCGGCGTAAATCTTTGTTGATTGTATTTGTGCGGTTGAATGAGAATACAAGATTGTAACACTGGACCCTTTACAAGGATTCTAATATTTAGGTTAAGACTAAGAGAGGCCGTTCTTTATTGACCCTCTAGCCTAAGACAAGAATAATTCCCTTCCTATGAAGCTTCCTCTCATCTCAACATCTTCCAACGTGTGGGGACCTAATCTACCGCTGGAACATCTCGACCGGGCAGCATCGTTCACGTCAGGGACCGGGCTGCTTTTGTCGCTGATCATTCCTTCGGTTTCTCTCTTCGTCTGGGCCAGTTCGCCTGTATTTTCGCTCCGTTGCTGTCGCGAGTACAAAACCAAGTGTGAGAATTATAGTTGCGGCTGCAAGTACAGCCGACCCAATAAAAACACCATCCCTGACGACGTAGCATTCTCCGTCCATCCATCCTTCGCCGTAAAGCTGTTTATTGTTCATGCTCGATGCTGCGCCCAGCAGGATTGCAGCCAGTGCGAAGCTGGTCCTGTTAAAAGTCTAGGAGTGAATTGCAGAAAATCTCTACGTCCTCTTGAGGTTGTAAATGTACTGTAAAATTTTTATGAGAAAACTTATGATGATTTTCTTCTTCTTTCACTAAACTATCATGTTTGCACGCTTGACATTTATTTTTCTTTCTTCTATCTTCATGGTTTCGTCTTTATGCGTACTTATATTTCTTCTACGCCTATCATCTTTCCCTCCTTTATTTTTAAAGAGTAGTTCATACTTTTTATCCAAACTACTAATGCCATTTGCAACAATTTTCAATAGTTCAATGAAACGGTTTTCCCTAATTTGAAATTCTTTTTGCAGTTTTGCGAAATTTGCTCGCTTAATCTCTAGAAAATTAAATTAGAAGCAGAAGCGGAACTGTGAAAGAATTTTGAAGACAAAACAGTAAAATACCAAGATAGGACCAAGAGGATGATAGGCATAGATATATTTCTCCTAGACTTGTCATCTCTCGACCACATCCTTATGGCTGCGACCGTAGTCCCTGCAACCAGCGCTACAAAGAGGCAGACGACCGCAGCGATGCCCAGGCCGAAAGCAGGGCTCCTCGGCAGATGACACAGGCTCCCGTCGATTCTCATCTCCTCCGCCTTGGACTTCTTGAACTCCGCAGCGATACAACAGGCGAAGGCAGCGGCGCCGAGGAGGATGACCACGGCGGAGACTATGGCCGGAGTTGTTGCATACCGGGGCTTCTCCATCTCGGCTTATAGATTTTGCTTGAGAAGAGGAGGTGGGGAGAGGAGTTTAGTTATGTTATACTTTTTAGAGAGTTTTTTTTGGGTTGTCTCTTATTAGAGAGTTTTGCATCGCTTGAAGAGGAGGGAGATTGGTTGAATTGTCTGGTTTGCTTGGTTTCTTTCTTTCCTCCCAAGATGCATAGACTTTGGTTGTGGCATAGACCTTTCCTTTCTTCAGAGCTGGACAATTTGGAATGCAAAATTGTGTCCTATTGGCAAAGGGAAGGTTAGAGAAGTCCATTCCCTCTTTCTCCTCCATCCTTTCTATTTTATCCTTTTTTTTTTTAATTTTTTGGAAAGGAAAGCAAAGTGTGGGCCCAGATGGGATGCAATTTGGATTGATCTCACCCTAACATTAGGGGGGGTTTGAACCCCCCTCCTTTTCAACTTTATAGATTTCAAAATCTATAAAATTGTTATGAATCAAACTTAGGAATATGATACATTTAGAATATTTTATTTACAGTTTTTCTCATGTCGGATCTAATTCAAAGCTTATTCTATAAAAAGAGTAAAACAAACACCCCTAGTAATAACTAGCACTTTGGGAAACCCCATTAATTAGGTAAATTACACGTAGATACCTAAAGTTTGTCCGGTATTGCACCAAAGTACCCAAAATTTAAAACCTTACACTTCAATACCCAAAGTTTCTAAAAGTTACACTTTAATACCCAATGCGAACATGAGAATTTCACCCAAAAATTCTCATGTGACACCCATATGCTATTTTAGAACATTTTATTCCTTATTTTTTTTTCTTAAATCTATTATTAAACCACTCAAATTCTACTTTAAACCTACCCTAATTCTAGATTAATATAGCATGCGAGTGGTGCATGAGAATTTTTATGATGAAATTCTCACGTTTGCATTGCATTGGGTATGGAAGTGCAACTTCTTAGAAACTTTCGGTATTTAAGTGTATGGTTTAAAACTTTGGGTGTTTTAATGCAACGTGGAGCAAACTTTGGGTTTTAAGTGTAATTACCCCTATTAATTAAGATATCATTTGACGTCCGAAGTAAATAGAAATGTTTGGAAAGTGATCCGGTCGGAGTTGGCTGCTGTCAGATTTTTCCCTGTAAAATTTTCACATGCAATATATAAATCACAATAGTGGTTAATGGGATCCTCTTCTGTGTTAATACGTTCAAAATCAAGTATTTGACTTACACCAATTCTCAAGTTTCCATTCAAATTGAATTACAACATCCACTAAATAATAGACAATTGAGATTAAAAATTAGACTTTTATTGCATTTTGACAGTGGAAATGATCTGAATTCATAGGATAAATTAATGCCTGTAATATTACTTTTTTCCGTACTGTTCTTGTATTCAAGTGAATGATAAATGTGGATCTAAATAGAAGTAAGCTGATTCCCTTTATAAGTCTAAAATATTATCAAAAGTTTACTTTCTTTAAAAACTATTTAACTTACATTAATAATACCAATAAATTCAAAAACAAACTCTTGATAACTAAATATGTTCAAAAATCCTGATATAACAATATTTTACGTACTAGAGTTCTCTATTAGATTGCAAATTGTGGGTAAATGAGTAAATGTCCCCATTGCACTTTATTTTGCTCTTGAGACCTAGTTTTAACATTGCCCAAAATATTATTGTTTCTGAGACCTAACTTTAATATTTTCCACATCTCTAATATTTTATTGTTCTTGAGATCTACCCTTAATATTGCCCGATGTATATCTGACCATTCATGCTGACTCGTCAAGTGATGACTTTTGTCCAAAAAGAAAAGAACTGCACTTAATGAATCTCATGAACCATGCATTTTATCTGGTTCCACTCTCATTTTTGGCCAATAAAAATTATTTCTTAGTAAAATAGTATAGCTTTTAATTGAATTGAATCATCATATTCTTTAATCTTTATGTGATCTATAAAAATTGTTATTAATTAAATTAAAAATTAAACGAGTTGATGTAATATTCCCTATCCAATTGAGGCCAATTCTTTATGTTAGATAGAGATTGTCCTTTGTCACTACTAAACAGAGAGAAACTAGTGAATGCCGAAGGGAGCTGATACTTTTTTCACAAAGAAAAATTCTAATTATGTTTGTAGTAGTTGTACAATTATTGTAAGGTAAATATGAGAAAACACCCCTTAACTTTGGATGATTATTTAAAAGCCCACCTTAACTTTCAAAATGTCAGAAAACACCTCAAGTATAGGGATTGTCAAAAAACCCCTATTTAGCTTTTAGATTTTATCAGAAAACCTCGTTTAAATTTAATATTTTATCAGAGAACCTCCCTAATTATATCGAAGTTAAAAGTGGTTTTCTAATAACCCCTCAGCATAAGGGGGTTTTCTGATATTTTAAAAGTTAGGAGGGTTTGCTGATAATCACGCAAAGTTTTGTTTTGAAGTTTGCTTGGGGTTTTGGTGGGGAGGGGGGTTGGGTTTATCCGTTTATGATATTGTACTTTTGAAAACAAAAAGTTAGGTGCCAATTGAAGCCAACTATTTCTGTTCACAATAAACAAGACATAATCTCTTTTTTTTCTTTTTCTTTTTTTTGGTTGCGTCTAGCAGTATAATATTAGCACAAGTCTTTTTTTAGTATAGTTATAAGAATTTTTTTTGAACTGAGAAACAGGGTGAGGTACCATGTTCATTATATTTATATATAGAAAAACTTAGAATGCACAAACTGATACAGAAAGACCCACAGAATACCTGGAAGAAGGATCGAAGCAAAGAAGAAGCTGGTAAGGAGCGGACCTAGTCGTCACCGACCGAACTAACTTTGCTTAGATACTTCAACAGTAGGCTAAAAGAAAGAAAATCTCACGAACTACTAAGAGTCTGAAACTCATATACGACAAAAACGACTAACACAAGTTCTTACATCACTAAGACACTACTGCATGCTGACTAGAGAGGGGATCAGGAAGGGCGCAAAAGAAACGGCGGCTAGGAGGAAAAGCACAGTCCAAATCAAAGAGCATCAGAGAAGTTGTCGCCACAGTTGCCAGCAGTGTTTATCTTAGCAATTTCCTGCAACTTCAGGTTGTAGGTAGCCCTGCGAATGCGCCTCGCCAGTCTCTCCTTTTCGGCCCTTATCCAAAATAAGACAAATCTAGCGATATTAGCAGCAGTGAGAATAGGATCAGCAGGGAAGTCTCTGAAAATAAGGTGGTTTCTACAGTTCCACATTCCCCAACAGAAGCACAGTAACAAATGTTTCCAGATTGCTTTAATGTCGGCACAAGTATTTGAGTCCCTGTATAAAATAATCAGCCCCTCCATGGAGTGGGGCCATCTAGCAAAAGGTGCAATAGGGAGGAGGGAGGATTAGACTGTACGAGCAAAGAGACAAGTAATAAACAGGTGGTCCTGGGTTGCTACCTCTTGCATACAATGAGGGCAGCGGGGATCTCCATTCCAGCCGTTAGAGACCAGATTTGCTCTGGTATTGAGCTTATTATTAGAGATAATCCAAAAAAGGACCTTAACCTTCAAGGGGATGTTTGATTTCCAAATGAAATTATGGATGTGGGATTGTAAGTTTGTAACCCACCGATGGAGATGACAGAGTATAATGAATTAATAGTAAAAGAGCCAGAAGGGTGATAAGGCCACCACCATATACTGTCATGAGAAGAATTTGTAGCAGCAGAGAGCACATCCAGGTGGGCGATGAGCTAATTAATATCATGTTTCTCTTCGAGAGAGATCCCCCTTCTGAGAATATGGTGCCAATGCCAGGAAGAATTGCGCAGATAGCCTTAAGATCGAACATAACTGAATCTTGAAAAAGCAAGTTGACAAGCTTTTGGAAACATACTACTAAGAGAATTTGCGTTAGTCCACTTGTCGTGCCAAAAACGACATGTTTTACCGTCTCCCACCTGCCATCTAACCATGCTGGAAAAAATGGAGTGGATAGAGTGCAAGTCGTGGATGAATTTAGAAGCTGAACTATTAGGAGGATGCACAAAGGGATTGACACTGTCTTTAGAGTAAAGAGAGAAGAGGACTTTACTGATGAGAGAGTTTCTGTCGAGAGCTTTCCAAAACCATTTGGATAGGAGAGCAATATTGAAAGAGGAGATGTCGATGACCCCAACCCTCCTCCTTGTTTTGGCCTGCGGACAGTGGCCCAACGAAAGCTTTGTACGTGAATAAAAGTGCAACTCTCAACTTTGATAAGTTAGCAGCAGAGATTTTAAGATAATATCAAAATCATCTAGATTTAATTTATGTCGGATAATACTGTGGAGTAGAAAGAATACAGTCGATGAAAAAGAAAGGCACTCAATCTAGGATAATGAGCTGGATGGGCATAATGCCAATTTTGACTCACAACGGCCAATTAGGGTTTTGTCCCAGTGATATCCTCTCATATAACTTACTAGTTTATTGAAAGACAAATATCCATCTTAATCTTTGTCATGCTCTAATTCCAGTGGTATGCTGAGTAATAAACACAGGTTAAATAAATAAATAAAAATATTATAAAAATAATTCGATCGGTGGTGTTTTATGACATCAGTGAGCACTACGTAGATCCGCTGCTGGCTCTATTGGCTCCCGTTAGTTTGAGCATAATATGGTTCAATTTTTCTGATATTTTTATCAATATGCAATTTACGCAATTAGCCTTCAATTATTAGGTGGGTGGAAAAAAGAGAAGAAGACCAATGAGGGTCTGTTTGGTTGTTGTTGGTAAAGTTGTGTATTTATGACACAACTTGGAAAGTTGTTGTTCATATCATCGATTTCACTGAACAACTTTTTTTGTTTGTTTTTTATTCCATTGGAATCATAAATTACTTGTTTGGTTTGCAAAATGTAACTTTAATTGCCTGTTTGGAAAGTGTAAAAAGTGGTTATTGTGTGGTCCCTACTCAAATGATTCCATCGGTCTAGCCCCCTCACTTCTGACACATATGTCAGCTTAATTTCCTTTAAAATCAGACAATTTTAAAGAGATTTGTGAATCCATGCCACATCAGCATAATAAATCACTTTACACTATTTTCACAACTATAAACAAACAATTGAAAAGGAGGAAAGCTGCCATTAGGACACACTTTTTTACACTTTCCATCTTTTTACAACCAAACAGCCCCGGACTGTAACAAATGAAGTCATAACCGAGAAAGACGTTATCATTCGTTCTTCAGGGAGATGAAGTCTTAACTTTTTCTTTCCTTCTTTTTCTTTTCTTAGAAAATATTCCTAATATTCTATCACGCTTACATCAACGTCTCAAACATGCCTTGATTACGTTCTCTGCAACAAATATGTAAATAGCAGGCACAAATTCTAAGACCGCTCTATTACAAATAATAACAAAATTAGAGTTGAGTTATACACGGGAACAAAACGAAAATGCTATTTGTCACGCGAGATGATGTTTTTAGTTATTAGGACAAAATCCAGAAAACGCAACGGAAGATTTGCATGGAATCCTACGAAGGCTTTAAATTGACATTCACCCCAAGTTTTCTATTTTTACAAAATTGACTTGTTCGTATACGTTTGTGAAGGCCAATACCACAAATAACGACATTATATGAGTTCATGTATGTATGTTTGTGTATATATGCGTGTGGGGGGTGTGGTATTATAATAAAAAGGGTTGTTTAAATACTAATCCCTCAAATATTCAACAGTTCCATATTAGTCCCTCAAATATTTGAAATTGCTCATGAGTTCTCAAATCCTAAGGGTTCTTTCAATTTGGTCCCTCAATAACTAAAATACCCCAGTTTTTGTTTCCCCCAAACCCCTCTTGCTAAGGACAAAATATCTGCCAAGGGGCATTTTAATCACTGGGGGTACCAAATCGCAAGAACTCTTGGGATTGAGGGACGCACACGCAAATTTGAAGATGTGAGGGACTGATATCTACACAGCCCTATTAAAAGTTGATGATTGTTAGGTAGAAATAGAAAACTGGGGAGTAAAATGTCAATTTAAAATGAGGGTGATTTCTGTAATTTATCCTAATTACTATGTTTTTATATGAAAAGGTGAAAGAAATTTGATGAAATTAGGCAGCCACAGGACGTTTGAAATCACCTTTCGGTCCTCGAACAATTTTTCATTGTAGACCCAAACCGAGTTTTTATTACCGAAATCGACCGATTTTTTTTTTAATTACCAAAATCGACCCGTTTTATGCCACGTAAGCATAATACCATTTCCTAATTAGTCGGGGTTGCCAACCCCGACTGTTTAGGAGTTGTTAAACCCCAATTAAATCAGGTTTAAGGCTTCTAATTAGGGTCTTCGGTCCTCCATATATGGATACCCGCCTCTCCACCGCGGCTCAACCGCGTCCAATTAATTAATTATTATATAAAGTGGGTCCCACCTTCCCACTCATCCAATTCCTCGGACGTCTCAAAATCCAAACCAAACCCAAATTCTCTCCCTCGCTCTCCCCGCCCCTCTCTCTCTCTATAAAATCTTAATCCAATTATTCTTCGAAAAGGGATCGAGAGAGAGAGAGAGACGATGAGCACGTGCGGTGCACGAACGAGAGTGGGGAAGTACGAGCTAGGGCGAACTCTGGGCGAGGGGAGCTTCGCGAAGGTGAAGTTCGCGCGCGATTCGAGGACCGGCGACGGCGTCGCCATCAAGATTCTTGACAAGAGTCAAGTCCTCAAGCATAAGATGGTCGAGCAGGTAAATTTTTGTGTGTTTTTTTTTTGTATTTTTGAGGTATTATTTCGATTTTGCTTGATTTGGTTGCTGCCATTGATGGGTGCACATTGATCTGTTGAAAAAAGATTGGATTTTTTTTGAATGGATTTGGGGGAAATGTTGAGAAAGATATAATCTTTATCTATGCATGTGAAGTGTTTGAATGAAAAATTGTAGGGTTATCTTGATTTTACCTGATAAAGAATGTGGAGGTATCAAAATTTTAATCTTTACCCAAATTGTCTTATTGAAGAGATAAGCTCAGGATTCAGGTTGTCAGGGTGGCGGTCGACCGGCCCGGTCGACCGCATTCGTGAATTTGAGCAGATTGAGAGAGTTTTCTTTGGGCTTCTATTCTAGGAGCAATTGGAGAGATTGAGAGTTGATTGTTGAGGGTTTATGAGAGATTTGTAACCCTAGTTTGTTCCTCTTGATTTCTAATAGTGAAAACTCCCCCCTCCTTGCCCCGTGGACGTAGGCATCTTGCCGAACCACGTAAAACTGGTGTTTGGTTGTTTGTGCTGTTGATTTTGGTTGGTTGTTTATCTTTCTTGGCGATTGTTTTGGTTTCTCGAGGCACAACACTTATATCTATATTTATCCAAAAGCAATTATAACATATTTTGTGTATCGTACTATGACATTGATGATTTCTTTTGGAGTTGCTGTAACTTAAATTTTTTTCTCTCCCCCAGATAAAAAGAGAAATTTCCACCATGAAGCTGATCAAGCATCCAAACGTCGTTCAACTCCACGAGGTAGTAGGGCCTACATTATATGTTAAATACCTCATTTGACATTTTCTCATAAGCTTACAAGATCTTGCACACTGTCTATAGTCAAGCAAAATGATAGCATCCAATAGATGAGTTATATTTTTCTCATGTATGCTTGAATTAACTTTCAATCGTAAATTAGTTAAACAAAATGATGCATCCTCACGGACTGCCTTCCAAGATTGAGTCTCTATCTGATTTCTTCTTAAGTTTAAATTTGTTTATATATATTTAGTTGCTTTCAATTTATAATTTAGATAAATGAGTGTAATTTGTCATTGTTGTACTGTGCAATCAGTTTGTGCAACTCTCTTTCTCGAGTGCAACGTTGGTTAACTTATTTTCTTTTTTGTTGGATCTGATAGACTGACACCAAATCTCCTTATCAAATTCCACTGTATATTGTAGGTCATGGCAAGCAAGACAAAAATATACATCGTTCTTGAATTTGTTCAAGGAGGAGAGCTCTTTGACAAGATTGTAAGTTTTCTTTAAATTGGTCAAATTTCAGTTATATAAGCAGCGATGTGCAATATTCATGGTATTCTGCATATGCAAAAATAGTCCTCTCCAGGTTATGTGTATTCCCCATTCATTAACCTTTTCAGGTCTGATTCGTAGGTTGACAATGGGAGGTTGAAAGAAGATGAAGCTAGGAGATACTTCCAGCAGCTTATTAATGCTGTAGATTATTGCCACAGTAGGGGCGTATATCATAGAGATCTGAAGGTTTGACCCAGTTTTGTGGTTGATTTTGTCTTTCTTGATGTTGTTATAGTCTTTTTACATGATAATCTTTTTGCAAAATATTTTTTGAATGTGTATATGCATATGTTGCAGCCTGAGAATCTTCTTCTAGATTCATTTGGTGTTCTTAAAGTTTCCGATTTTGGCTTAAGTACGTTTTCACCTCAAATGCGGGTATGTTCAAGTGTTCAACTACAAGTATTTTTAATTATATCAGTTTTAGTTCTTATTAGTTGGTATGATGTATGAATTAAAGAATATAGTTTTTATTTAAATTTAACTAATATTCTTTATAATTTAGGAGGAAGGACTCTTACATACGACTTGTGGAACACCCAATTATGTGGCTCCAGAGGTATAATCAATAATTGTCCTGTATATAGCAAGATCCTGAACAATCTGTCATATTTTTGTTTTAAATCATCTCACGGTGGACTTCTTTTCTCTAGGTGCTCAATGATAAAGGTTACAATGGTGCAACTTCTGACATTTGGTCTTGTGGTGTGATTCTGTTTGTTCTTATAGCTGGATATTTGCCATTCGATGAGCCCAATGTCACAGATCTCTATAAGAAAGTAGGCCTTTAAACATTTTTGTTTTTAAAATACAAAAGTAATTGAGTCTTTGAAGAATGCTGAGGACCATCTTTATTTATCTTACTGCAGATTGATAGGGCAGAGTTTTCATTTCCTACTTGGTTCTCATCTTGTGCAAAAAAGTTTCTTAAACGTATTCTGGACCCAAATCCTCGTACAGTGAGTGTTAAAAATTCAATGATTCCTTTCAGTTTTCTAGCAGTATCCTGTTTGTAGGGCTTAATTCTCACTGTGTTGTATTTTGGTGACAGCGCATAACAATTCCAGAAATTCTAAAAGATGATTGGTTCAAGAAAGGGTATAAGGCACCGGATTTTCAAGAAGAGGAAGAAGTAAATCTTGACGATGTTGATGCTGTTTTCAGTGATTCTAAGGTAATAATACTAAATTCTCATTAAGATTTCTCGTGTGCTGATGTGATGACTTTGGCCCCATTAATCTCCTGTACAATTTGATGCATGCAGGCATCGTTATTTTGTAAATTCTTGATAATGAAGCTTTCTATTTTAAATTAAAGTTATATTTGTTTCTGATATTTGTTGATCAAATGTTTGATTCAGTATACATTCTTTTTGTCTCTAGGAACATCTTGTAATGGAAAAGAAACAGAAACCAGAGTCGATGAATGCATTTGCGCTTATTTCACAGTCATCTGGTTTTAATCTTGGAAATTTGTTTGAGCAGCAGGCGGTATGTATGATAACTACTCTATGGCCTTAATTAAAATGTTAATAATATGAAGTACAGAGTGTATCATGCATTAATGACAAAAAAGTATTAGAAAAATTCAGCATACCTCTCTTCACGTGAAACAAAATAATAATAATAATAATAATAAAGAACTGTAGTATTGCAAATTTGCAAGAGTTTCTAACTTCTTCTGTCAACAAGCTGCAGGGTGTGGTCAAGCGGGAAACAAGATTTACTTCTCAACGCCCTGCAAATGAAATAATGTCTAAAATAGAGGAAGCTGCTAAACCTCTGGGATTCAACGTGCAAAAACACAACTATAAGGTAAATTATAACAATTGAGCTGCACTCAATTATAGTTCTTACTTGGATATATCAGTAATTATTTTTTATGTATTTAAATTTATACCTATTTATCAATTGCATCTGAGGTTACTAATCTGAATTGTATGTACATTGTAATTTGTCATCATTGCAGATGAAACTAAAGGGTGACCAAACTGGACGGAAGGGTCATTTATCTGTTGCAACTGAGGTATGAAAACAAAACTATTTTTGTGTTTTGAAGAAAATGAACTTCGTGGAATAAATTTCTCTCTCTAAAACAAAAATTAAATAAATGGAATTTTGAAGAAACTAAAGCATGGTTGATACAGCTTTCCCAAGATAAAGCTGTAATATCCTCATTGGGTTTTTGAGATATTGGTCTCCCAAAACTTAAGTAATTTTAACCAAGTTCCCCAAAACCCATTATTTTGAGATTGGTCCCCAAAAATTGGAAGTCGCTCCAAATCAGGTCACGTTTCTATTTTCTGTTATGCTGCAACTCTGGTTGAGTTAAAACTCAATGTAACACAGTACCCGTCCAAGTTAGTAAAAGAGGGAGTGGGTTAGGCGAGTTAATTTTGGATACCTCTCTAAATCCGTTTCTTCCAAAACCAAAATTTCCCCAAACTCCTTCAGTGGAAAAGCCCTAAACCTACACCGTCGCTTGCATGATGTGGTCCATCGAGCAGATTCTCACCCAATGTGTGAAGCTGCACTCAGAGTTACTGTTTCAGTTTCACTGAGGAATTCTTCAGTGTAAGTTATGAATATGTTATATTGTCTGTTCCTTTGATGATCTCTCTCTATCTTGGTCATAGGTTTTTTGAGTCCTTGGATCAAAGTATTGATGGGATAGGAGGGACCTGTTTGTTTTGGACTGAATTTGCTCTGTTTTCTGCTCTGTTTTTTTCTCCTTTCCCCGCTCCTTGCTGCTCTATTTGCTTATCCATTTGATGTAATGATTGGTGTGGCATTCAAATTTACAAAACACCATCTTATTCCCATGTCCAGAGCACAGTTGCTGCACAAGCTCAACATTTCTATGGCTTGAAATCACTTCAAAATAAGTTTGAGAGCTTAGTTTATCAAAAGGAAATGCTTAGAATCAAATAAATTGGAGAGAAGAGTGGAAACCAATGAGTTTGGATGGAGAGGTGAGCTAATAATGGGTTTGGAGAGATATTACTAAGCTAAGCATTTGGATTGAATGAGGAAGATGTGGGTTCAATGGATAATGAAAAAAAAGTAACAGATGTCACTCATTTTGTGGGTCAAGTTAACATCGTTCAACTGTGGGGACCTGTTTGGAGTGGGTAACAAGTTTTGGGGGACCAATTTCAAAGTAATGGGTTTTGGGGGACTCAGTTCAAATTACTTGAAGTTTTGAGGGAGCAATATCTCAAAAACCCATCCTCATTTCATCCATGCTGATGCCATTTTACAAGAAATGATTGTGTTAGTTGTTTAAACATGATACTAATCTAGATAACATAAACATAAATTGATTGTTCCTAACATAGAATAAAATTGATAAATTGAGCTTAATTTTATCACAATAGAAATTTATTCAACTGTAATCTAACTTTTTGAAATTTGCTATCAAAGCAATTTTCCTATATCGTCTAAGGACTGAAAACAACTCATAGACACAAGGTTGTGCACGGAAATATGCAAAAGAACGTTGAAATATATAATCTTCAAAAGCATAGAGGTATATTTGTAAACTGCACTGTAGTTTGTTCTCTCTTTTGTCAAGAAAATGATAAGATTTAAGATATCTAGTCTAAAAATCACTTCATCAAACGTCTGAGATGAGAATAATATATGATTGATAAGTTATTTAAACTGGCTTTCGCTTATTGGCTGTGAAAATAAAAGGCCCAGAGAATACACGCATCTGTTATGGTTTAGTATGCATATGTTCTGACCAATTTCGCCCTTAAAATCATTGCCCTCAGGTTTTTGAGGTTGCTCCTACTTTCCACGTTGTTGAGCTCCGTAAAACTGGAGGAGACACATTAGAATTTCAGAAGGCACGTCAAATTGAACTCTACTTCTAGTAACAATTATTGCTATAATCCTTTAGATGAAACCTCGCTTATTGAGCTTGATGTCTTTGTGCAGTTCTACAAGAGCTTTTCTACAGGTCTCAAAGATATCGTTTGGATAGCTGAAGAAATCCCAGAACAATGAGGCAAATCATCAAGATACTATTTCCACAACAGCTTCGAGAAGACAGACCAAAGGGCATCTTCCATCTGTTGTCGGCTCAAAATTTCTCCCCTAAACCTATTTGCCAACTTAGCAGAAGTTGCTAAGAGCCTTTGCAGATCAATCTACTTCTGAAGACATTCAGTTTCTTTCTTCCGCGTGGTCGGAATATTTGGTAGAGAATTCCAATGAGAAGCTTGAGTTATGTTATATTGTTACTGTGATGTATCTGTGTACTTGGGAGCATGACATTCTGAATGTAATTTGTGGGAAAATATAGCTCATTCTTTTTTTTTGTGGAGCAAGTTCCTGATTGGTCTCTTGATTGCAAATTGAAGGTGTATCTGTTCTATTTTCAGTGTAAAATTTCAGGAGAAAACAAAGGAAAAGTAATTGTTACCTGAAATTTAAGTTGCCAGATTTTAACACCTGTGTGTGTTTTTTTTTTTTTTTTTTTGTGAAATAAGGGCGTTACCCCCAATTTGTTATAGATAAGAGACGCAGTTACAAGAGGAGGAAGTTCACAGATAACCATGTAGAAATCATTTACATCATTATTCTCAAAAGAGAGGGGGAAAAAGCAAAAATAAAATTACATTCATAATGTTATGCTCCCAAGTACACAGATACATCACAGAAACAATAGAACATAACTCAAGCTTCTCATTAAAATTCTCTACCAAATATTCCAACCACGCGGAAGAAAGAAACTGAATGTCTTCGGTAGTAGAAATGATTGCATTTGCATTTGGTCTATGAGTTATGCTTTGGTGCTCCGAAAATAAGAATCATCTTCTCCTATGAGGCATTTGCATTTGGTCAAAATAGAAATGGCGCATTTGGTCAAATAGAATCATATTGTATATAACATAGGAGAAGATGATTGCATTTGGTTAAACTGGCGCATTTGGTCAAATAGAATCAACCTCGGCCTCAGTTGCAAAGTTTTGAGCCAGGAAAAGAGAAAATGCGCACAGCATTTTGGTAACTAACCTCTGCAAGTTCTTTTTCAGGCATCTCAAGCATCGTGGCCACATGATTCAACACCTGAAATTTTGCAAAATAGCCTTTTTCATCAGAGCAATTTCTACTAGTCAACTATGGACAAAGAATGCAGTAACTTAAAGAAAGGTTAATTGCACGTAGACCCCCATGTAGTATCGCTCTTTTGAACTTACTACCCCTGTAGTTTCATTTTTGGGACTCTTTTGCCTTGGGTGAAAATTTGGAAGATATTGCTCACGGACGAAATTAGCGAGTCTATCTAAAAGTAAAAGAGCAGAAAAAGTCGATCAATGTTTCGATATGCAACAATGATACTGCGGGGATAATATGTTCAAAACTGTGAAACTACAGGGGCTTGATGTAATTAATTAACCCTTCCCTTGAATTTATTTTTATGCGTCGCTGTTTTCAGAAATAATTGCAATTACAATTGTTATACCTCTCCCCATACGATATAATATTTTTTTTTCAAAAAAAAAAAAAAATTAATTTTTCATAGCTTTATATCATTTAGTTACTATTTGTTTTCCCTGCAAAGTTCATTTTGCTCGTCTGTCGCATAAAATTGCTGAAAAGCATGATGAATTCTTTCTTCGTTATTTCTAAAAGGTCACCAAGTTATACCTCTCCCGATACGATATAATATTTTTTTTTTAAAATTAATTTTTCATAGCTTTATATCATTTAGTTACTATTTGTTTTCCCTGGAAAGTTCATTTTGTTCGTCTGTCGCATAAAATTGCTGAAAAGCATGATGAATTCTTTCTTCGTTATTTCTAAAAGGTCACCAAAAACATTTACACAGTGAATGGAAACTGGTTTCCCCCAGTCCTTGGCAAGTGCAAGTTGTGGCCGAAAAACTTCAACCTAGAAGAAATAGTATATAGTAGTGAAGTACGTTGGAAAACTTCAACCTGAACGAAAAAGCTCAAGTAAATTGCAAAATAAAAATGTCCATCTATATTCCATCTATAAATTAATATTAGGGTGTGTTTGCACCCAAAACTGGACAAACAACTAGGCTGCTGTTTTTCTAAATCAGTTCTACTTTAGACCAGGGGAAGGATGATCCAAAATAAAACTGATTTATTGGTCAAATTTTGGGCTTGGCGCGGCCTACAAAAAACTTATGGCCCCGTTTTTGCCCAACAGGATTCTCTCATATACAGTGATTTGGTTGAATTAAACGTGACTAAATAAAGAGGTCTATATAGAAGAAGAACAAGAATCCTGTTGGTCCCATATTTTGGGTCCCTGTAGCAAAGCTCAATAACTGTATATGAGAGAATCCTGTTGGGCAAAAACGGGGCCATAAGTTTTTTGTAGGCCGCGCCAAGCCCAAAATTTGACCAATAAATCAGTTTTATTTTGGATCATCCTTCCCCTGGTCTAAAGTAGAACTGATTTAGAAAAACAGCAGCCTAGTTGTTTGTCCAGTTTTGGGTGCAAACACACCCTAATATTAATTTATAGATGGAATATAGATGGACATTTTTATTTTGCAATTTACTTGAGCTTTTTCGTTCAGGTTGAAGTTTTCCAACGTACTTCACTACTATATATATACTATTTCTTCCAGGTTGAAGTTTTTCCGCCACAACCTGCACTTGCCAAGGGAGGGGGGAAACCAGTTTCCGTTCACCGTGTAAATGTTTTTGGTGACCTTTTAGAAATAACGAAGAAAGAATTCATCATGCTTTTCAGCAATTTTATGCGACAGACGAACAAAATGAACTTTCCAGGGAAAACAAATAGTAACTAAATGATATAAAGCTATGAAAAATTAATTTTAAAAAAAAAATATTATATCGTATCGGGAGAGGTATAACAATTGTAATTGCAATTATTTCTGAAAATAGTGACGCTCAGGAGCATAAGGGAGCCTCAGTGTGTTCAGTGGTGTTATAGGATACTATTGGATTGCGTATTTTATAAATATTTTTATTTGTATTTTCTTAGGACACTACTGAAATTAGGATAGCAGACCGCCAGAATTAGAGAACACTAAAATGGATAAAAGTATAAAATTATCAATATAAATTTTATATATAACCGTGATAAATTATATGGAAACACGTACCTTTAGACAAAATCCTAGTGCCCCCACTACTCAAGAGTGCATGCATGTTTTTCCTTCATAAGTCTGTACCTTATGATTCTTTCTGAAATAGCTATTGGCTTGCATGTCTATTTTGGGGTTTTTTCATGATTAGTCCCTTAAATCTTTTAATATTTTAAATTAGTCCCTCAAATCATTAAAAATGTTCTTAGGACCCCCCGAAAAAAAAATCTAGTAAGTTGTTTCAAATTAATTCCACTAATTGCATGTCACATCTACTTTTGATTGAAGGGACTAATTTCAGAATAACTTAAGATTTGGGAACCTAGCTAATAGCCATTTTAATGATATTTTAAAATGATTTAAGAACCGGGGGACCATAGAAATTCGATGATTTGATGGACTAATTCCAAAATATGAAATTAACGGGACTGATATTGAAAATAATATGCCCAATTCTGTTCCCACTAAACTCCCGGAAATACAAAGTGTCTTGAATGATCTGTCAACACTTTTAACTTTTCCTACAAAACCCTCAAAAAAGTGTCTCTTGCAATTGGAGCACCTTATTATATGCCCAATTCTGTTCTTTCCTGTTCTTCTATGGGGGCCCAACTTCTCCTCTTCTTTTTGCTTTTTGGGTGTTTGTGGGAAAAGTCAGAAGTTTCTTGGAGTTATTTGAGACACTTTGAAGTTTTCAGGGTTGTTTGGGAAAAAAAAAACAAAATTCAAGGGAAGGGTTAATTACATCAACCCCATGTTGTTTCACAGTTTTGAACATACTAGTTTGGATTACATGTGCAATGCACGTGGTTGAATATCATAGTTATTTAAATTAATAAAAATAGAATAAAAATAAAAGAGAAAATAAAGTTGATCATCAACTCAATAATCTCTCTTTCAAATAAAATATTGTTATTGTTTCCTTCAACCCAGACTGTCGCCACGTGATCTACTATTTCTGAGTTATAAACACATTGATCTAGTACAATATCTTTGTTTATTAGTATCTTAAAGTCTTCAAAAGATGGGTGATCATTCAATTCGCAAAGAAATTTTGCATATGAATTTACTTGCAATATATCCATTAAACTTTTAGTTGTGGTTTGACTCATATTCACATTAAAGTTTAGTTGCGGTTTCACTCATATTTACATTATCTAATATTCTCATTTAATTTTATAGCTCATTCTCCGTACCATAGAAGTAAAACTGAATGTATGAATAATTATTTGCTTGCGAAATTAGAGCATTGAGATTATGATATATTTCACCATGTACTTTAAATATAAAAAAATTCTTTGATGCAAGGTCCCTATCAAATCTTACCCTCAAATAATGTGTAAAATGCTATAATAACTCACTTGCCTGGAGCAATTATATTGTATATAGGATATATACAATAGTCTCATGTATTTTCTGGTTCTGACTGCAAAATATGCAAGAGTGATAGTCCCGTATATTTTTTGATTTTAATTACTTTTGTAATTAATGTTCTCTAAATACACGTGATTATTAGTCCCGAGTATTTAAGAGATGGTTTTTATTTTTTTACAAAATCAACCTCTTTTTTGCCAGCCTTGATGGTGTGACAAAAAAGAGGTCAATTTTGTTAATTATCATGTAAAACAATCGATTTTGTTAATATATTTTAAAAAGTGATATTTTTTTAAAAATCTCCTAAAATAAGCTATTAATTCAAAATATGAAATGGGCGAAAAGACCTAAACATTTTGGTGATTAATTGACCCATAAATAGGGAAAAATAATAATTGGAATAAAAGTATATTTAAATTGAATCTAACAAGGCACTTCAAAGAATAAAGCATGAAATAGATCCAAGAAATTATTAAAAAAAGAATTAAAGAAACTAATTTAAAAAAATTGAGATCAAGGGATAGAGGGAGAGAAGACCTCACCGACATAAATTCTATTTCTCTTCGAGCGTGACATAAAATTGGTGGAGGATGAGCGAGGAGAAAAGTGAACAGAATAGGTGACAAAGTGGGCGTGCTTATATAAATAGGTTATTAAGATATTCATCATGAAATCTTAAATACATACATGTTAATCCCTAACATCGTTGTAATTGCTCATTTACAATGATATTACTATTCAGTATTAAATCAATTTTATTATATAAGATTATATACATTTTTAATAAATTATAAAGTATATATATGGAAACCTCGATGCTTATAGCCAATAGTTGGGCTCCACAAATTAGGTTAACTTTACATTGTAGTTTACTATTG